GGGGAGGTGCTAGAGGGTGCAAGGTGGCAGATAAAGAGATGGATGGTATTTTGAACCCTGTGTAAAGGGAGGCAATTCCACCCTCCAGTCACAGATGCATAAACAACTGTGGGTACTGATGAAGTTGTAGTTGTTATGTTGTGTCTGACTCTTTGTGACCCCATTTAGAGTTTTCTCACAGATCCTGGAGTGGTTTTTAATAGTTCATTTTACAGATGAGGAAACTGAGGCAAACAGGGTTAAGTGACTTGCTAAGGGTCACACAGCTAGTATGTGTCTATGACTAGATTTGAACTCAGGTCTTCCTGACTCCAGGCCCAACTCTCTATCCACTGTACCACCTAGCTTCTGAGGAGTTAGTAGCAAAACTGAAGTAATGTTTATGATGATGGGTTTCCTGATGATGAGTTTTTGTGGTAATGAGTTTTTTCTGAGTGAGGCAAAATGTAAATGACGATGGCACTAAAACCAAGCAGAACAAGTAGCGTTAAATGTAAAAAAAGTCTCTACATTTGTCTGTGGGTATTTTTCTGCTTCCATATGAATACTGTAGAGGGCCGGCTTTGGGGAGTTGGAGGGCTTAGGCCAGCCTGGGTCTTACCTGTAGCTTGTACTAAGCCTGACAGCTGGCTCACCACCCCCCTGTTCCGTCTCTTGAGAACAGGATGCAGGAAGGGAGGAAAGGGATGGGATACAGGACAGGACGCAGGAAAGAATGTAACAGACAAGGTACAAGGAAGGAAATCACCTAATTAGGTTTGTCCTTTTCATGAATAACAATGTTACTGTTGCTTGATCCAGTACTATGTAAGCCTGAGCCCTCAGATCAATAAACAGAGTTTGTTCTTCGCTGCTCTCACCTGGCCCGTGGTTCTTTCTCTCTTCACACTCTGCCGGCATCAGAGCACAGCCGGGGACGCAGGCACTCCCGGCAGAATACAACATCTCCTTCTAGTCAAGTCTTTCGAATAACATGGTCTGTGAAGAGGGGCGCGTAACTCTCACTTCTCCCTGTCCTGCCCTTCTTAGGTACAGGCACAAGAGTCTGTCCCTCCAATGCATGCCTGAACCTGGAATCCTCTGCTGCCACTGAGTCAACTGCAGAAATCTCCCCACCATTTCATAGGTAGCTTTTTGGGCAGGCAATCAGCTATCTCCTCCTAGATTCAATTGAAGAGGACATCAGAAGAGCCAACAGGGTATGAACCATCTTGTTTAAATGTATAGAATGTCTTCATTGTGAACACTCATACACAACACCATTTTGTAATTAGTCAATGGTGTGCGTGTGTGTGTGCATGCGTGTGTGTGTGTGTGTGTGTGTGTGTATAGAACCCCACCTTTATGATTCAGCTTATTGTTTCTGGAATTCATCAGCAATTTTAGGTCTGTAAGGTTCCCCACCCCAAGACCACTCCTCTCTTTTCACTCCTCTCTTTCCTTGTTATTAGGAGACATCTGGTGTTCCAGAGCCAAGGTCCAGCAAGCAAGCTGTGCCCACAACAGTCTTTTGTGCTCACCCTCTGGATGAACTCTGCTGCAGCTAAGCCATGGAACTGACAGTCTCTGAGTTTGGGCAAGCACCAGCAGGCCTGGTCATGAAGCCCTGTTATGAATGGACTGGGTGTCACTAGGCAACCTTGCCTCACTGTTGCTATGAGGCCTCACTGCTGTTACACCTCCCTGCTTGATTCTTTGTCTAGACACAATTACATGTTATCAAGGCTGCCTAGAGACCATGTCTAGGTTCCCTATTCCAACAGAATAAAGAAGGCTTTTTGCCTATGACCTCTGTGGCTATTTGGTCATTTACTTTTCAGAGCTGACCGTTGTGAGCTCTTTGGTATTTTCAGTGTTAACAACTCCTTCTGACCTTTCGGTCTTTGCCAGTATCCTTCCAGTTTCATTGCCTTTTTATATATTGGTCTCTGGTTACCTGGCTTTGTTTTCATCCTGTCTTTTTAAAATTTAAATTTGTCCATGATTTCTGTGTCTCTGTATTAGTCTATTTAAGCTTCCTTCCTCCTTCTCTTCCTTTCTTCCTTCCTTCCTTCCTTCCTTTCTTCCTTTTCTTTCTCTTTCTTTCTTCCTTTCTTTCTTTCTTACTTTCTCTTTCTTTTTTTCTTCCTTCCTTCCTTCCTTCTTTCCTTCCTTCCTTCCTTCCTTCCTTCCTTCCTTCCTTCCTTCCTTCCTTCCTTCCTTCCTTTCTTTTTTTAAATTTTCATGCAGGAGCATGCTGGTAAACCAGACCTCTGAGGAAAATAGTATACAAGACATTTATTTTTTGGAGATATGAAGCTGAAATTCTCCGTCCATGAATCAATCAACAAATATATATTTAATATTGATTATATTCTCAGGCTTACTGTAGGTGCTATGGGGTCAGTCAGATGATCTTGGGCCACTTACTTTATTGCTTTTAGCCTCAATTTCCTCATTAGTAGAATAAGGAATTTGGGCTAGATGACGTATATTTTCTTTTACAGAAAGGCATTGTGACATATTAAATAGAGGTCAGGCCTCAAAGCCTTTGGCATATGCTAACTGTGTGATGCTGGGCAAGTCCCTTAATCTGTCAGTGAATAGACAAGACTGTAAGTTGCAGAGAAGATGCCGATCTGAATCGGTAGAGTGAGTCTTCTCATCTAGGATTTCCCTATAACACAGAAATCCCAGTCCAACACATCTCCCTTTTCCATTTAACATAACATACAAATGAATAATAAGTAGAGTATGTCAGGAGTGGGGTCAACAACATGACTGGATCAATCACATCTTACCAAGCCAGATTCTAAAGGAATAGCCTATTGAAATATACTAGAAAATAACCTTTCACTCTGATTGTTACGGTGGAGGGTGGGACATGCTCGAAATACTGCAAACTAGGGTCCTCTTAAGTTTTGTTTCGTAGGGTGGGGTTTTCCCTTAAAACTTCTCTCTGGATCCAATGCAAAAATCATCTTGACATTTTCTTGTTTGGTCCAGAAGATACTTTCTTCTTGGAGCTTCTCTAGTCTGGGATCCTGATTAACTTCCAGGTCTCACACAGCTCTGCTCCCTTCTGAATGGGGTCAGTAGGTTTTCATTATTAGTAGATGGCAGCCAGTGACTTATAAAGTTCCACTCCTCAAAGCTTCCTTTCAAAGGAAAAAAGGGCTCATGTCAAAAGCTTTTCATTGCATTCGAACTTCCTACTCAACTACAAAGCACAAAAGCCAATGCTTGCAGGGCCAAGTTTGGACTGGAATGTGGGGCATTCCCCACATGTTGGGCACTGCCATTCCTGACAGGACTGGTAATACAGTGAGTGAGTCTCCCAGAAAGATTCAGATAAGTCAGTAGGCAAATGCTTGAATTATTGCAATATTAGTCTAGCTCTATGTCAAAGCTCCCTTTTACAAAAAGTTTTTCAGGGCTCATAGAATATGAAGGGCCAGAGGCCTTAGGCATTAGCAACACTCAGGGTTTGGGCTACTCAGCATATACCAGTACTTTGAGCAACCCGGTAAGCAAGATCACTGGAGTGTGTTCTTTGAGCACAAACCTCCAACCCTCCCTAGACTGCTTTGCATGGCTGATCCCCAGGTCACTAGGCCAGCTGATGACAGCAGTTATAAACAGATAACTGCTGGGGGAGACTTCTGTAGAGCACAGAACTCAGGCACATGGAAATGGGGTCTCTGGCTCAACTGCTCTGCTTCCTCATGCTGTGGATTCCAGGTTAGGGAGAAAGAGTAGGAAAAGCCCTGATGCCTGTCCTCTGATCACGTGGAGCTCCCGAATCTGTTGTTCCCATGGGAGGAATTTAGAGTGTGTGTGTGTGTGTGTGTGTGTGTGTGTGTGTGTGTAAAAGATTCTGAGGGACATAGAGACAATCTCATTGTTGATCTGGTTCCTGAATGTGCTTCATGATGGCATAATAAGGGTTTTTCTTGGCTGTTATCTACATTTATATTTACCACTGTAGGATCATCTAAGTTGGAGGTAAAAGGGAGCTTAGTGGTCCTCTGGTCCACTCTCCTCATCTGTCTGGTATTTCTAATTTCAGATGCCATCAGTCAGATTGTGCTGACCCAGTCCCCTGCCTCTCTGGTTGTATCTCCAGGAGAGAGAATCTCCATCACTTGCAAGGCCAGTCAAAGTCTTGTAGAATCTCAAGCCAATTATTTAAACTGGTACCAACAGAAAGCTTCGCAGGCTCCTAGGCTTCTCATCAACTATGCTTCCAACCTCATGGCTGGAGTGCCTGCCCGCTTCAGGGCAGCGGGTCCGGGACAGATTTCTCCCTCACAATCAGTAGTGTGGAGCCCGAGGATGCTGCAGTCTACTATTGTCAGCAGTCAAGAGTCTCTGCTCTCACAGTGCTCCAGCCCTGAACAAAAACCTCCCCTAGTCTGGCTGAGCAGCTGGTCTCTGCTGTGATTAAAAGCAGAAATGTTGGACTTTTTTTAGATGACATACTTGGGGGACTCACGGTAAGACTGGGTATGACTTTACTTACTTTGTGGGCCTTCTCCTCATTTTCCCACACCCCAACAAAGACTTTCAGACATTTTGCACTCGGTCAGTCACTTCATGCCCAAGGATAGATGTGAGGTCACTTAAGAGGGAGCCTGACTCTGCCCTTATTTTAAACAGGTATTAACTCTGAAAATACCAAAAAGCTAACAGAGGTTATACAACTGTCAGCTCTGAAAAATAAATGGCCAAAGAGACACAGAGGTTAGAGCAAAAAGCTTTATACCAACTGTCAACTCTGAAAAACAAAATAAAATAAAACAAAATAAAGTAAAATACCCATTTGCTCCCAGAGCTTATAAGCAAAAAGCTTTCTTTATTATGTTGGAGGAAGGAAACTAGACGCATGTGCCAGGAACTCCAGGCAGCCTTGATAACATATAATAGTGGCCAGACAAAGAATCAAGCAGGGAGGTGTGACTGCGGTGAGGCATTACAGCAGGGAGGGAAGGTTGCCTTAGTGATGCACAGTCCATTCATAGCAGGGCATCATGACCAGGCCTGCTGGTGCTCGCCCAAGCTCAGGGACTGCCAGTTCCGTGATTTATCTGCAGCAGAGTTCATGCAGAGGGTGAGCACAAAGAACTGTCGTTATGCCAAGCTCAGGGCACAGCTGGCTTGCTGGGCCTTAGCTCTGGAAAATAGGGTGTTTCCTAATAGTAAAAAGAGAGGACTGGTCTTGGGGTGGGGCCCCTGACATCGGGAAGTTGGAGAAACCTTCCAAAGGCAAAGGACAATATATTATTCAGACATAACTCTTTTCTTTTTTTCTTCTCTTCACCTTCCTTCTTTCTCTATCCATTCCCTTACTCTTTCCATTGGACTACGCTGTCTTGGACAAGTCACCAAAATGTTGTCTCCATCTTGGAATTCAGAGGAATAGCCCCACTCCTCCCAGCTTTCTGTCCCCAGTTTTCCGGGGGACTTGAATCTATTTATTCAAATGACCTGAGACTGCTTTGGGAAAGACTTCTAGAAGCAAGTCTGGAAAGGAAGAAGTGACTGAACCTAACACAGACTGAGAGACCTGAATCATTATTTTGTTTGAGCTGTATCAGGGAAAGAGAATGATCGAAAGATGGAGAGGACTGATGTTTAGGACGGGAGGGATCACGATAATGGACAGTGGTGGGGAATCTACACTATTCTGTCTTAATTTTATTTTATATTTTAATTTTTTGTGAAAGGAATTTGTCTTTGGAGTGGGAGAGCCAGACAAAAACACACAAAATTGTTAATTAACAAGATGTGGAAACTCAAGAGAAGTGAGAGAATACTCAAACAGGATCTAGCTGCCCTTGGTGAGTTTAAAGTTTGAGTCACTAGGCCTGGGAGGGGGCGAGTGGTGGTGGGGCCTATTTCTCAGAGGACTGAAGGAATGGATTTGCTGAACCCCAGCAGATGGTCTTTGACAGATGATGGAGAATAAGAAAGGCCCTGAAGGAATGGAGAATTGCAGAAGGTTCTCAGACCTTGTATTCCATTTTTCTCTCTTGCTTTATTTCTTCTAAGTATCCACATAGTCCTTCTTGACTGATCCTCTGGTGGGAAGTCCATTTTTTCCTTGAAATTTTTGCAATTATCATATTAATATATAAATACAAATATTTGCTATTTGTTATAGAGCTATTATTTCTTTCTTGTGGGGAATTTTGGATGTGTCCTACCATTCATTGCCTTCAGTCTGGTACAGGTGATATTGAATGAAGGTAGAGAAAGTCACAGAACCTTTCTGACTGGGTCTATTACAAATTTATGTTACAGAACCTCAACTGGGCCCTCATTGCTTCTAGGCAATCCATCTCCCTAAACAGCTCACAATCCCACTCTCCACAGCGACTCTTCCAAACCTTCTCATCCCTCCTCAGACCTCCCATGGCTTCCCACAACCCCCCCTGACTCTCAGCTGAACACTCTGCCTTATATTTTACAGGAAAGCATCGAGGCAATTTGCTGTGGGCTCCCTCCCCTCCCCTCTTCCCTATCCTCCATCACTCAGGTGTATTCTGCCACTCTCCTCTTTCCTCTGTCTCATATGATGAAGTGGCCTCACTCTCCATCAAGGCTAGCCCTTCTTCTCATCCAGGTGATTCCATTCCATCCTGTCTCCCCCCAACAGATTGCCTCTTCTGTCATCCCTACTCTCACTTATTGCCAACCTCTCCCTCCCTGCTGGCCCACATCCTACTGCCTACAAACATGCTTTTGTCTAGGGCAGCTAGGCGGTACAGTGGATAGAGTGCCTGACACTTACTAGCTGTGTGACCCTGGGCAAGTCACTTAACTCTGCCTCAGTTTCCATATCTCTTCGTATGAGCTGGAGAAGCAAATGGCAAACCACTTCAGTATCTCTACCAAGAAAACTCCAAGTGGGGTGGTGGAGAGTCAGACACGACTGAAAACAACTGAACAAAAATACCATGCCTTTTTATAGGCTATTCCCCGTGCCTAGAATGTGCTTCGTTCTCAGCTTCTTAGAAGCCATAGCTTCCTTCAAGATGTAGCTCATGTCACCTCCTACATAGGCCTGTTCTAATGCCCCCCCCCAGTTGCTAGTCTCTTCCCTTCACCTCTGAATTACTTTGCATTCACTTTGTAATTTTTTTTGGTATTATTTGCCTCCCCTCTCCTTCCCTGCACCCCAGTGGGATGTAAGTTGTTTCATTTTTGTTTGTATTCTCAGTAGCTAGCACAGCTAGCACAGTGCCTGGAATGCTATGTAATGAATAGAGAACCAGTCTTGGAGCCAAAAAGACCTGTGTTCAAGTCTGTCTGTTATCTTATCATGCCCAGGTGACCTTGGGCAAGTCCTTTAGGCTTTCAGTGCTCTGGTGAAAGCGCCAACTTACATTGGTAGAGGGATTTTCCTCATCCTAGAAATATTTTCCTCGTCTTTACACCAGTGAAAGCATGGGACCAATCCCTATCCCTATACAAAATCAACCCTAAGTCATTTGGGGAGGGGGAAGGGAGTAGTAAGGGGTGATCAGAGGAATTCAGGATAATTGTCCTGTAGAGGATGAACCTTGAAAGAGATTAGGGATTCTAAGATTCTAAGTGCATCCCTAGCATGGAGACTAGCTGGTACAAAGGCATGATTACAGAATCATAGATTTAGAGCTAGAAGGTAGATTAGAAGTTATCTAGTGCAGCTCTCTAGTCAATAAACATTTATTAAGTCCTTATGGACCAGGCCCTTTGCTAAGCATCAGGTTTGATATAAAGAAAGGCAAAAGACAGTCCTTGCTCTCAGGGAGTTCTCAAAGTATAACAAGCAAACAAATTGTGCAAACAAGCTGTATGCAGCATTCATGGGAAATAATCAACAGAGTGAAGGTACTAGAACTGGTAGAGGGGGAATGGGGAAGGCTTCCTGTAGAAGATGAGATTTTATATTCACTTAAAGGAAGTCATGGAGTGTAGATGAGGCAGGAAAGCATTCTAGGCATGAGGGGTCAGCCAGTGAAGGTGCCAAGCACTGAGAGATGGAATGTCTTATGTAAGGCACAGCAAAGAGGCCAGTACCACTGGATCAGAGTAATGGGGCTGGAAGTGAGGTGTGAGAAGACTGGTAAAAGTAGAGAGGGGTCGTGGTTATGAAGGAATTTGAATGTCAAACAAAGGATTTTATATTGAGTCCTGGAGGTGATAAGCAGCTTATTAAGTGGGGGGCAGGGAGGAACAGGGATGGATGTGGGGTGACATAATCAACCTGGCACTTCAGAAAGATTACTTTGACGATTGAATGGACAATGGACTGGACTTAGCAGAGAGACTTGTTGTAGGGAGACCAACCAGCAGGGAGACAGACTACTGCAGTGGCCTAGGTGTGGAGTGATGGGATCATGCACCGGGAGGATGGCAGTGTGAGAGGCAAGAAGGGGGGTATATATATGACAGACTTCTACAAGAGTAAAATTGACAGGCCTTGGCCACAGAGTGAATATGTGGGGTGAGAGAAAGTGAGGAGTGGAGGATGACACCTAGGTTGTAAGCCTGGGTATCTAGGGTATCCCCAAGACTAGGAGGGAAGTTAGGAAGAAGGGAGGATTCGACGTTTCGCTTGGCCTCAAGTCTCTGTTCCAGTGCAGCAGCTGCCAATGGGATTTTCCCACAGTGCAGGTTTGACCACATCACTTCCCTTCTTCCTAAACGCTAGTGGCTGGCTCTTCACCTCCAGGATCAAATAAAAGCACTCGCCTGGCATTTAAAGCCCTTCACCACCCTTTTCCAGTCTTCCTGCCCTCTGCTCCCTCTGTACGCTCAACGATCCAATCACCTGGACTTCTTGTTGATCTTCACAAGTGACACTCCTCCTCCTAACCTTGTTGCCTTTGCATTTGCTGTGCTCCATGCCTGCAATATTCTTCCTCTTCACTTCTGCCTACTGCCATCCATCCCTAACTTCCTACAGGACTCAGTTCAAATCCTGGTTTTTTTTTGCAAGGGGTTTTTTTTCTCTTCTCTGTCACCCACCGTTGCTAGTGCCTTCCCTCTGAGATTACTTTACAATTGTATTGTACGTATCTAGTATATACAGTTATTGCAAGTGTCTTCCTATTGGAATGTGACCTCTTTAGGTCAAGAGCCATATTTTTGCCTTTCTTTGTATCCTTGGTACTTAGCACACTGTCTGCAGCAAAGGAAGTGCTAGGGGCAGCTAGGTGTCGCAGTGGATACAGCACTGGCCCTGGAGTCAGAAGGACCTGAGTTCAAATCTGTCCTCAGACACATAACACTTACTAGCTGTGTGACCCTGGGCAAGTCACTTAACCCCATTGCCTAACCAAAAACAAACAAAACGACCACAACAAAGGAAGTGCTTATTAAATATTTATGGATTGTTTATCACTGGAACCAAGTCGGGAAGTCCCTTACATGGCTGATATGTCTTTCCGTCTCCAAGCTAAGCTTCCGGGATTCCTTCCTGCAATCTTCACATAGTTTGGGCTTCAATTCTTTCACCATCCAGATTGCCTTCCTCTGTCTGGAACTAAGTATAGGTCCTTCCTAGAATGGGAAGTGAAAACACCATTCCAGCTGTGATCAGACAAGGGAAGAACATAGTATCTGTGATTTCACTAACATATAATATCACCCAAATTTTTCTGTCTTAGTTCTGGACACTGTCAAACGCTCTCCGGAATCTGTTCCCTCCAGCAATATAGACGACAGCCTAGTCATGCCTGCCTATCCTACTAAATATCCCCCCTCATGTCCTGCTATAGGTTTGCCACATGGAGTTCATGCCAGCTGCTGGGGGCCTTCTTCACTTTCTCTGGACATCACAAGGACAAAATGGAACACACACAGTAACACAACAGTTATCTTATGCTCTCATCACATTAGCAACTCGACATTTTTTTTAATCTTACATTGCATTTTATCTTACATTATCTTACATATCATTACATTTATCTTACATCTTACATATTTTACATTATTTTACGATTCCATCCCTTCTGTAACATCCATCCTTTGTTAGGTGCTGTAGCTTGCTTTTAGACCCTGTGTGTTTCTGTACTGATTTCAGAGTGATACTCAGTTTTAGGTCTTTGGAACATCCATTGTATTTCTCACAACTGTGCCATTGGTATTGATAAGTATAAATAGGAAAATACTATACACAATGAGTTCAACAATGCAAATGGAAAAGGACAAATATCAAAATAAAACTGAATGATGTATAATACCAACCTTGGTATGGGAGAAGACAGAAAAAATAGGCCTTCCTAAATATCTTGTTTTGTTAAAATAAGTTTTCGTTAATGACTTTTTGAAAACATTAGCATATCTTCCCCCAGTATTACCTACCCTCCTTCTAGAGAGTCATCTCATAGAAGAAGTAGAATTTTTAAAAGAAAAAAAAAGAAAAAAGGGGGAAAATTATCATAATTGATCAATACATCAAAAAGGCTGAAAATAGGTACAATGTACAATACTTGTGATCTTCCTCTTTTGAAAAAAAAAAGGATAGAATGGAAATGTCTTCTCATATCTTTTCTTTCAAGATATGCTTGTTCTTTATAGTTTTGCGAGATTCATTTTTGATTTTATTTTGTGGTTGCCCTTTACATTTACATTGTTATAGTTATTATGTATATTCTTTTCCATGTCTTATGCTCAGGAAATGTGGCCAGCTGAAGAAATCAGCTACAAAAGGGGAACTTGGAGGGAGATGCTGGGGAGCCAGAGCTCAGACACAAGGAGATGGGGTCTCAGGCCCATCTGCTCTGCTCCTCATCCCAGGGGAAGGAGGAAGATCAGAGACTGCTTGGAGTTTTCATATGGGTATTATGAAATCCTGGTTGTCTCTTGTCCCTCTGGGGAGGATAGAAATACGTGTGATTCTGAGTGACAGAGAGACCATCTGTTCCCTCCTTGGTCATGATGCAGTCTCCTTTGGCAACTGAGAATTTAATTCATAATATTTTAACAGTGATTTGTCCTGGTATCATTATAGGCATGAATATTCATAACTTTTTATTTTGCATTTATGATTACAGATGCTTGAGGGGCCATTGTGCTGACTCAGTCTCCAGCCTCCCTCTCTGTGTCTGCAGGAGAGAGAGTGACCATGTCCTGCAGGGCCAGTCAGGGCATTAGCACCAACCTACACTGGTACCAACAGAAAGCAGGCCAGACTACTAGGCTCATCATTAGATTAGCTTCCACCCTGGACTCTGGGCTTCCTGCCTGGTTCAGGGCCAAAGGCTCTGGGACAGATTTCTATTTTACTATCAGCAGTGCTGAACCTGAAGACATCATGGTTTCTTAGTGTCAGCAGTACTCTAGCTGGCCTCCCACAGTGATACAGCTCTGAACAAAAACCTGCCCAGGCAGCAGCTGAGGGAGGCATCACTGCCTGGGGCTTCTCCTTCCCCCCCCCCCCCAGCTGGGTCAGGGGCAGCTTGTCAAGGCTGCCTTGGGGGCAGGTTTCTAGGTCTCATAGGAAGATGCTGTGGCTGTGACCAGTTCTGACCTTGATTTCTTTGACAGACAAGAATCATGGAGTGTCACAATCTAAATAATTAGATGACACCCAAAGGTGGGTTTCTCTTACCCATAGCTGACCAAGAGTCCCCTTTCCAAATTCTCAACAAATGTTCTTAAAGATTTGCTTGAAAAGCACCAGGGCAGAGAGTCTAGCCATCTAGGGAGCTAGGTGGTGCAGTAAATACAGTCAGGTATGCTGTCAACAAGACTTGAGTTCAAATCCAGCCTCAGATGCTTCCTAGTTCTGTCAGGCTGGGCATGTCCCTTAACCTCTGTTTGCCTTAGTTTTCTCACCTATAAAATGGGGATCGTAATTGCACCAACTCCTAGGGTTGTTGTGAGGATCAAGTGAGATAATAATGGTAAAGAGCTTGGCACTGTGCCTGGCATTTAGTAAGCTCTCTAGAGATGTTCGCTATCATTATCATTACTTCCTCCAGTAATGGAAGATCAGTTACACTTTTTACATGGTTCTCATTACCAGGGAGTCTGTTCTTAGATTAATACTAAAGTCTGCCTCTCTGTACCTTCCACCCTTTGCTTCTCTTTTTGTGGTTTGGTACCAGGCAGAACAAGTCACACCCTCTTCCTTGTAACAGCCCCCTGAATGCTTGAAGGCAGTTCTTACATGTCCCCATCATGGCCCCCACCCCCAAGCTAAGCATCCCTATTTCCTTCAGGTGACCTTCCTTCTCTTGGCCCCTGGTCCTTCCCCTATCCTGGCTGCCTCTCTCTGGCTGGACACCAGCCTAAGTCCATTCTAAAATGGGGCACCCAGGAGGGAAAGCATTATTCCAGAGGTGCTCTAACACCCTGGGACCTAAGAAGAAGTGGATCAGCCACCTTTTGACAGAGAAAGGACGGACACAAAGTACAGAGACATACATTTCAGGCATGGCTACTCTGAGGATTCATTTTGTTTGACTACGTTTATTTGTGGTTTCACTAAGGCAGAACACCATGAAAGCACTGGAGTCTGGCCAACACTCCCTGGAGTCCGGTCCTTCCAGCTGTGCGGGTGACAAGGCAGCCATGCATGTCCATGCTCTGATACCACTTTTGTCATGTCCTTCCGAGGCTCACTGCAAGGGCTCCACCCAAATGAATGGGGCCCTTCTTCACTCTGCTGGACATCCCCAGGACACAGTCTTAGAGACGCTAGGATACAACAGGACGGGGGGATCCTCTGCCTTCCACATTCTTTTAGCTTCCATTTTGGATAAGAGGCTTTCTTCTGCCACTTTTTAATAATTCCTTGCTGTTGTTCTTCCCTGCCGTATGCCTCTCCATTGACGTCTCTAAGCACCACTAGGAAAACAAGACCTTATAAGGACTGCAATAATGTAAATGAAAACAAAAACATCAAAACAAAACTGTATGTTTAATCACTGAAAGGACCACACTTGGACCTTTCTCCCTTTATGTTATATTGTGGGGATATTCTGGTGGATTTTACCGAACTGTTCCCCTCTGCCTTTTATTTCTTAGTATCTGTTATACTCCCCCGAGTTGAGGAGCAAGCAGAGGTATATTTATAAATTCATGTAAAAAGAAAATATATAAAAAGTTTAAAAAATAAAAATAAAGTAGTCATAATATAAAATTTATGGATGAACCTCCCTCCTTTTCAAAAAAAAAAACAAAACTCAAAAAACAACCACCAAATGACTAAAACACTGCCCCCTTTTTCTTTTTCTTTTTTTTTTTTTCTTTTTAAGAGGGGTCTTACTGAGTAGAAAAACAGGTTGTGGTATGTTTGAAAACACTCCCTTACACACACACACACACACACACACACACACACACACACACACACACATACACACACTACCTAAATGCTAGGGGAGAAAGAACCAAATGAGAATATCAGGAAAAGTCTACAGCGAGTTTGGGGGAAAATGTGATTTAAAGGTTTAAGTAGTTATGCCCGACAGCACCAGAGTGACCCTCTTTGCATAGGAGGCCTGGTGGACAAAGAAGTTTTCAAAGTAATAGAGGCTCCCTGTTTCCACATACCTAGGGCTGTGCTTTAAATACACATTCTAAACTTAAACATAAAAAAGAATGTTTCCTTACACACAAGCAGACAAAAAATGTCCTCTACATGAAACCATAAATCTCCATTTTATACACCTTAGTTTAAAAATAAGTATATGATAATTTTCTAAACTGTCCTTTTCTGTACTCCTTCTGAAATTCCTTCTGCTCTCTTTGGTGCATTTAACACATGCTGTTATTGTCCTTTTCTTTTATTACTATGTTTAACCTCACTCACACCTGACCTTTCCCTTCGATCTCCCACCACTTAAAACTGAGAGAAAGAAGAGGGGTTGGGGTTGGGTGGGTGGGGAAGAACCTTCTAACAAATAAACATGGCCAAACAAAATGGATCCACACAGTAGCTATACCCTGAAATGTATGTCTCTGTACTTTGTGTCCATCACTTCTTTTCCAGGAGATAGCACACTTCATCATGGGACCACTTGAGACATGTTGTGCTGGTCAGAGTTCTTAGTTTTTCAAAGTTGTTTTTCTTTAAATTGTTACTCTTCTTGAATGAATTGTTCTCCTGCTTTTTCTTACTTCACTCTTCACTAGTTCGTATTAACCAGAATTCTCTGATTATCTCACGTCTTTTTTTTTTTCTGTGAGGCAATTGGAGTTAAGTGACTTGCCCAGAGTTACACAGCTAGTGAGTGTTACGTGTCTGAGGCGGGAATTGAACTCGGGACCTCCTGATTCCAGCATTGGTTCTCAATCCATTGAGTCACCTAGCTGTCCCTCTCATGTTATTTCTTACAGCATAATAATGTTATATTAATTTGTCACAATCTATTCAGACATTCTTCAACTGTCTTAGAGTCAATCTAAGGCACCCCAGAAGAGTCTAGGGTTTTTTTTTTTCCTTTTCTCTCCTCATCCATGTTAGTTTCTCTTTTGGGATTAGGAAGTTTTGCTTGCAGTGATTGTCTCCCCAGTACCTATTATCTTGCTCTTAACCACCCTTTTCCCTATCCCTCCTTGTTTTTCTGTTGAGTTTGACATATTCCTAAACCAAACTAGTGTGTTGATCTGTTCTACCTTTCTTTATTCATTACAGGAGTGAGATTCATCTGATGTCAACCCTCTCTACTCCTTCATCCACCTTTGTATATGCTTTTTTTCATACTCCACAATTATGAGAAATAACACATTCTGTCCTCTTCTTCCTCCATTCTACTCTTACTTGAATTTTCTTTCTTTTACCCTCCCTCATTTCTCTCTTCTTCAGATCATTAGAATAGAATCTATTTACTCCTAGCATCTTGATTTTTCTTATTTAAAACCTTCATTATGCCTTGAAGACTTTAAGGTTCTGAAAGACACTTGTTTCTTCTCCCCATCCCCAACCCCATCACAACATCGCCATACAGCTCCTTTCAATTGCTTAAAGAAACATCCCTTTCTGGTGTCTTCAGACTTTATAGTTGTTTTTCAAAGTTCCCACTCTGCTCTGGTCTTTTCATCAATAATGCTTGCTAGTCTTTTATTTCACCAAAGCTCCATAAAAGCTTTCCCTTTGGGTATATTGCATTCTATGTGATCCTCTTGTTTGTAGTAGAAACTTCTGAGTCCTGTGTGGTCCAGGACTGTAGGTCTTTGGTACTCGAACTGCTCATTTCTGGAATCTTGCAGCATTTCTTTTTTTGATGTAGAATCTTTGGATTCTGGCTGTGATATTCCTAGGACTTTTCTTTTTATTTTCAGGAGATGATTACATGGTAGATTTGTCTCTACCTTCACTTTGACCTCTGGTTCTAATAGGCCTGGACTGTTTTATGACTTCTTGAAATATTGTGCCCAGATTTTTTTAAAAAGTCAGTAACTCCCCAAGGGATACTTTCTTTGGGTATTCAAAGTGGGGGTGGTGACAGAATGAAGCACTGGGAACCCTTGTTGAGAAATCAGCCATCCTTAGAGCAATGAACCCGGCACATGACTGTATGGCTGGCTTCAGAGCTGGTGAGTTACCAAGAGCCCCTGTGAGGACAAGCAGTAGTGACCTACCAATTTCTTCATCAGTAAAATGGAGGGCTTGTACTGAATTGTCACTATTACTGATTTTGAATCCTCTGATCTTGAATGAAGGAACAATTGGAATTATGTCTTCTTATCTGTTCTAATTGAGAAGAGTAGCACAAGGTGGCAGAAGGGTTAAAATGATGGACATGAATCTGTTGTGATCTGAAGTCCACAATAAGTGGGTTTAAATCCCACCTCAGAAAAGTATTAGCAAGGGGCAGCTAGGTGGTGCAGTGGATAGAGTACTGGCCCTGAAGTCAGGAGGACCTGAGCTCAAATCCAGACTCCGACCAAATACTTAACACTAGCTGTGTGACCCGGGGCAAGTCACTTAACCCCAATTGCCTTAAGAAAAAAAAAGTATTAGCTAGGGGCAGCTAGATGGCACAGTGGATAGAGCACCAGACCTGGACTCAGGAGGACTTGAGTTCAAATCCGGCCTCAGACACATGATACTCACTAGCTGTGTCACCCTGGGCAAGTCACTTAACCCCGATTGCCTCACCAAAAAAAAAAAGAGAGAGAGAAGTATTAGCTGTGGGACCCTAGGTAAGTCACTTAAAGTCTTTGTGCTTCAGCTTTTTCATGTGTAAAGTAACAAGAGCCTTGGATGTGATGGCCCCTAATGGCCTTCTAGCTCTCAGTTGATGATTCTATCAAGAGAATAATGGCCATAAACATTTAACATCCTTCTGAAGAAAATACATGTCAAAATGGGGAGAAAAAGAAAGGTGAGATCCAGTAACCCAAGATTTGTAAAATGATCACTGAGCCAATTTTCTGAGGACCTAGGATTGGACAAAGACAGAGAATGGATGGAGGCTGGGATTTAGATCTAGATGAATGTCAAACTGCAGCATAAAATCCTAAGGATAACATCAAGAATCTAAATCCCAATTCCGAGATTAGAGAGAAAAACAAAACATCAGTAAAATGCTTTTCAGGGATTACTCTTTCCACATATCTCTGAAAGAGTAGAATAGTAGAAGTGGTTCATGTATTACATATGGCCTCCAGGGATGGTATGAATGGTAGAGCTGCCTCCTGCTCAGCCCCCAGTTGGAATGAAGGCTGCTCTCCGCTCAAGCTAAGCTCTTCTCAGATGCCATCATCCCAGACTCTTAACACTTAACACCATGGTACCACACTTACATGGCCAACACAGGACAGAGCATTAATATGGTAACCTGGGAAATTCAGGAAATACCCAAGGGATTTGTAGGAATTTCTATAGCAAAACTACCCAACATTAGACAGAACAGTTGGTTGTTGGCCAAGACAAGCTGGCCATTCCTCTTTATCAAAGTACAGGGGAAGCTGGTTGTCATTAAGCCCTTAACCCCTTTCTTGAGTGGCAGGTGGCAGGTCCCGCATCTGTCTAGGTGCCTGTGTCTCTAGTAATCTCTTGACTTTGGCCCCCCACCAACTAGATACGATAAACCTCTAGAGGTTATTGAATGGGAGTAGAAAGGAGCATACATATTTCTTAGCTGTACAGGAAATCTTCACAAAAAATGACCATGTACTAGGACATAAAAATCTTGCAAAGAAATGCAGAAAAGCAGAAATTTTAAACATGTATTTACAGACCATAGTGCAATAAAAATTATATGCAATAGAGTCTTTGAAGCAATAGTTAAAAATGAATTGTAGATTGAATAACAATCCTAAAATGGGTGGGTCAAAGAACAAACAAATGGAAACTATCAGTAATTTCATTAAGGTAATGCAACAATGAAACATAACAAAAATTATGGCCTAACCTAACCTAAAAATTACTCATGTTTGTCACTTCTTGTGGCTCAGTGAATGTTTCATGGCAGCCCCTATCCCATGATTTCTTCAGCTATTGACCTCCATTTTGTTTAGTCATTTTTGCAGCTCAAAGAACATGGCCATGAGAATTTCATTATCTGTGGGACCTTCTATTCCATCATCACCTAGCAGAGGGAACTCTAGGTCCAAGTGTATG